GCTGCCGAGGACCAGCCAAAGCACGGTTCCCATGTCGGATTTCAAAAGAGCTTTTCTTCATCTCCACACTGCTGTTTGAGAGTCTAATAACGCACGAACAAAATAACAACCGGCTGCTGGCACGGACCAGTACGGACCAGGCGAAGGTAATAAAAAAAGATAGTTGGAAGCCGACGAACAGAGTAACTCGCAGTAATTACATTAAGTATATTTTACTCAGCTCCACAGGCACACAGCAGTGATCCTCAGGAAACCTTTTGCTTCTTGCCTATTTTCCCCCCTTTTTTGACGTGGTGGGGCCCCTCTCCCACTGGGATGGGGCTGCCTGACAGCTAGTCACCGCGCTACAATGGACAGCTGGGAGCGGTGGCCAGGCATGGTCCGTGGAGATAAGCCCAGTCCGCATCCACACGGCTCTCACGTCGGGCCCCTCTCACGAGGAACCGCCGCGCACACCCTTATTCAAAATCCCTCTGGGTCTTTATGTGCGTGTTTTAATTCTCGCTGGCTGTGTTTCAGCATACTACTCCAGACGGGCCGTCTGTCGCGCCCCCCATTCACGGGCAAACGTGAGGACGGCTATGCTGGGGCCCTTCGATGAAAGAGAAACCAAACACTAGGGTGTAAAGTGAAACAAAGACACCCAACACCTGTTTGGGGTGTGTTTCTAAAACTACCCTTAATAACCCAGCTGTCATCTAGGACTTGTGCAAAAGTGTCACATTAAGTCAAATTAATTAGTCCCTCTGCTGCCTGTATACATTCCCACATCTAGGAGTCAAATTAGATACAAAATAGATGGAGGACTATTCTAGACATCAAAATGCATTAAAACCACAGTATCCTCCCACAGAATTTAAATGACTGAGACTGGGTGAGCTATTTCGGACTATTTAGTATAGATTTCTGTTACTTTTAGCATAAAAGAGAGTAAGCGCCTTCCACTTTGACCTTTAACCTGAGCAAAGACAAACGCTGGCCTGTCACAGGCTGACACCCTCACTTATCACCCGGCGGCAGCCATTGTAAAAGAAGCTGGTAGAAGCTGTATTGGGCTTCAGCTTTTATATTGACAGACTAAACATCACTATCAACAGATATCTGAAAGATCTTGGCCTGAACAGCCGTACTTTTGTTTTCTTATTTATATATTCAAAGGGGTGTACACTTTAGAGGACTGCATGCAATATTGCCTGATGCCTCCAAATATATGTATGAGATAAATGTTGTGAGGGGCCTGGACTCCATCCCGCGCAGCAACGCTGGGGTAAAACACGGACACACACATGGCGTTGCACAGCACACACACACAATTTAGAGATGCCAACGGGCCTGTCTGCACATGCTTGGGACCGTGAGAGGAAACTGTTCTATTGTACTTTTTCCAGTTGTCAGGGTTAGCACCGGTTTTGTCCTAGTCTCGCGTCTTCTCCCCATTTGCCCAGCAGTTGTCGCTGGCCATCCTGTTTTTCCCCGTTGTCCGAGTCTGTGGTGTTTCCACTCCTCCCCGTCGGCCACATGGTTCAATGAGCTGAGCATGCGGCTGCCTGTTAACCCCTCTGTTGTGTGTTCGAATCCAACCTCCTCTGTTTCTGTATTTTGTTCCCTAGTCTATCAGTTTTTCTAGTTTCTGTGTCTTGTGATTTGTATTTGGTTTTGGTTTCATGCTTTGTGCCCGTGCATGTGTTTTTTACCTGTCTGTTATTCCCCTAGTGTAGATCCTGTTTCCTTGTTTCTGTCAGTGTCTTGTCAGTGTTTTCTCTTCTCAGTCCATTGATTTAATTATTAGTTTCATCTGTGGCCTGTTTTCCCAACCCTTGTTAATTAGTCTCACCTGTCCTGTGTTAGTCTTCTTACCCCTATGTATTTAAGTCCCTGCCTCTGTTCAGTTCCCTAGCGGTTCATTGTCTGTTGTTGGTCTGTATGCCGTTGATGTATATCTGTTGTGTTACGCCGCTTGTTGTCCTGACCCATTTGTATTAGTCTTTGTTTTACTTTGACCTCTCGTGGTCTGATTTTGTTTTGTAGTGTTTCCCAGTGTTTTCGGTTTTTGTTTAATAAACCCCTGTCCTGTGAGTCGCCAGTGGTTCGTCTGCCTATCTGCCTGCATCATGCCTCGTCTACGAATCAAATCTGTCCGGATCCGTGACACGAGTAGATGGTTGGAAATTTTCAAGTTCCGAGTTATCGTGAATGTATCGCTACATCGCTAATCCGCAGATCACCAGTTCTTTCTTATCTCCGTACGTTTCCAGATGGTGGTGCAGGCAGCTCAGTTGAGTCCTGCTTTTGGCCTTGCAGGGCCACGTCGGCGCAGGAATGGATCGGGTACGGCTTGGTTCTCGGTGGCCATTAGTTTGATCTGTGTTTTTCCTGTTTATTTCCTCAGATGTGAGCTAAGTATTATTTTAGCAGACTGCTGTTGCATGCATTTCAGCTCCCTGTCAATTACCTTAATCCACTGTAGGCTTTTACTAACGAGCTGAATCTTTGCAGAATGTTTGCTTCTTTAATGCCTTGCGTTGTTCAGTCGTTCCATTTCGCCGACGAGAGCTCACCCTTCAGGCAGCTAGCTGTCACACCCTGAATGTCATTCCTGTGCACTTGTTTTTCAGGAAATCAAATTGAAGATTGTGGTTTTGCGTTAGTAGCGGTGCAGTGACCTGAAGGGAACCCAAACATTATGGAGGGAACATGCAAGCTCTACACACACACACAGATCAGGCTGAGATTTGATCTCCTAATCCTGAAGGTGTGAGGCCACAGTCCCCACCCCTCCTGAATATACCTTGCTAAGGAAACAATCCCAAAAGCTCAGCATGGGGGTAATTAAGGGAGCCACACCAAGCACCAATCAGGAGGCAGGATATGGCTTCTCCCATCTGGGAAAAGCTGAGAAGGGCAACGACGGCGGTCATAGGGATGCAAACCGGAACTAAATCATCAGAACTTATTTCAGACGGGTGGATTCTTAGAGTGGATAGGCAGACAATCCCAGTGGCTGAGGGAAATGGGAATCTGTCGAAGTGTCTGGAACGTAAACAACGGGGTCCCTGCAGTGAGTGCCAACATCTTTGTCACACACGATGGAGGAGGTGCGGGCTGGCCGGGTGTGGGGTTTACGCCGAGTTAATGGAATTCATCAGCTTTCCCTGGCTTTCCTTCACCACGAAGAAACAGAAAAGGGCCTCAGCATCTGCTTCCCCGGCGCCTTCCCCCCCCCCCATCAACGCTGAATTTGTTTTAGAGCAGAATTTCTCCATCTGCCAGCCCTCAGCCAAGAAACATCAGCGCTCGGCTGCTATCTGCCTTAAACAGACGCGACTCCTTTTCGGTAAGATGCTGTGTGGGAGCACAAGCGGCCGGGGGGGGACTTCGGAAACGTGGCAAACGACAGCGAAGCCGTCAAGGGAGGCCGCTGCTCTCCGCGTCACGCGTACACGGCAAAGTGGGTCCGATCTGTTCCCGTTTTTCGCAAGCAAACCCCCCAAAAGACGAGTGCAAATAACACACACGTGGGAAAAACCCGTAAGGGAGAAGCTGCACCAATGCGAACGCGGCATCCCGCCAAACGCACCCTTTATAGCTACAGTGTCTAGTACCTAGTGTCTAGTATTTCCGCTAAAATCAACCTGCTGCTTTATTGCACGATGCTCATTTTCTGTGCTAGGCACATGATTTTATTTTCATGTACATGTTTATTATCTATATATAATCTATTGTCTTGATTGTCCTTGATTGTTTTGCTCAAAACCATAAAGTAAATGTATATCCAAAATTCCATTATTTCGGGAGCATGAGAAACAGATTTTCTCAGAAACTATTTTATGAAATAAACCTAAAACAACGTAATGTGACACCGTTAGCACCTCAAATAGAATCGTATTTCTATATAGCCATCAGCGAAAGGATTAATGTTTTAAATGGATTCCTATCAGTGCGGCAAACATGTCATTGTCGAAAACATCTTGATTTATATTCATAATTAATTACGCTAGTTAGTCAGCTATCAAAATATCAATATTAAGTTGTTAACATTAGCGCTGTGAAATATCCAGGAGACAACCATCATGAACACACATGTTGACTAGTACAATTGATGACTTCATAAAACATCTTTTCATTGGGCAAATAGACATCAAACCCTATTGATAGACAGGAGAATGGGCATATTCCATCTACAGTGAAACATCACAATCAGCAAAAAGTGGATGTACGTGATTTTCATCGGACAAAGACGGCAGGTAGAAGCACTTGGCGATAAATAAACGATTCTGATTCTTAAGATATCACATTCTTCCTTCATCCTTGAGCCAATCGTGGAATATCGATGCACTTCTGACCAAGGCCTGCTTTATGCTGAAGCCCAGGGTCTTTTCAGGAAGCAACAAAAACCATTTTGGTGGACAGGGAAAAAAAATAGTTATTCGCAGTTAGAGCCTGTCTGTGAAATCAAAGTTATTCTGGTGGCGTGACGTGTAGCAGTCTGGTACAGCACTGAGGGGGCGCCCCAAGCAGCGGCCTTCTGCTATTCTTAGGGGGAAAAAAATGAGCCATTCTACCCCAGTGACCAGGTCACGAGAACGGCGCCAATATCCCGGATGAGGTTCAAAGCGGGTCAGCTGACTCACTCCTAAGAAGGAGAGTGAGGCTTTCGATGACACCCTGAGAGGATCTTATTCCATTCAGTGTCAGGAGCCGTCAGCTGAGGGGAGACTTGATTAAGGTATTAGACATCGGGATATTGGAAGAAATGAATAAGTTTGACCCCAGCCATTACTCCTGTATAAATAACCTAGTGGGACACTTCTGAAATAGCACTCGGCGAGATGGAAGTATGCTGAGTCCTTATGGGAGGAATGGCCTGTGCATAGCATGGCTAGAGATCGCCAGGCATAAATGACCTGTGAGTGTAAAACAGCCCTGGGCGTGACTCTGAAAGTCAGGAGCCAGAAAAGCAGCGGGTAGGACGGCGCTGGTCCCTGTAGTGCCGCGTCGGCAGGCTTACCTTCGATGGCGCTGAGCAGCACCCGCGAGTGGTCGTAGGCGATGACGTTGGCGTATCTGTTCTTTGGCTTGTTGACCTCCAGGTTGGAATGTTCCCAGGTGAACTGCTGGCCTGGATCGACGGACTGGGGACGGGGGTGGGAGAGGAGACGAGGGGAGATCAGCGGAAGGGCTTTTCAAAACCGGGCCTGCCCCTCCCCCCCCTCCCTAAGTGCTGCTCTCGCATTCTTCTCCCATGGTTAAGATTAACATTACTAATTACCTAATTTCCCTTATAGCCCTGCCGTCGGTGTAAGCATCTGCTCTTATTTTCAGTACCATCAAAGAGGACTCCTAATTAAAACTGCAGATATTTGTTTGACTCCCCAAGAATGGCTACTGCTAACCCTCAGGCCCCCCCTTTTACGTCACATTCACTGATGTTTCAAACCGTTCGGCGGAGAGTTTGCTGCGCCATCAGCATGAATGGCATTTCGCATAACCGCCCACTGCTGTTAAATTTAGCTCCTGCGATGCGCCTGTCACATTCTGTAGCCTCGATTCCCCTTGAAAGCTGAAAAATCATCTATCTTTTCCGCAGCGGAGGACCGTTCCGTGGTAGGTTTTCTGATGGTAAAAGGGACAGGACTTTAATAATAATAAACAAATCTGTATCTTCTCCTTTTTTTCGTTCGCTCCTGCCATGTTTCGGGTGTACTGGAAACACAGGCAGTGATGGTCTGAGAAAGCCAAGAATGACCTCATCCGGATCTCATGGCTGCAGAAAGCCAAGCTCCCATAAGGCCAAGTCCAAATCCCGGCAGGTAACGGGTGCTATCCGTGTAACCGTCACGCCGCATGCGCCGGCGGAATGCCATTTTCATGCATTAACATTTACCGTTTAATAAATAATAATGCCAAAATGTCAGCTTTTATGTGTCCCTAGATAATCTGTTTAGATTGAATAATTAAGACTCTTACCATAGGAAGAGCGACATTAGGCTTGAACGAATTAATATGAGAATCAGGTGCTGCAGTATTTTGATGGTGAAGACGTTTTTTTTTTCTCTTTACATGCTGCTAATTCCCCAATCATATTAAATGCGTCTTTTGAGAGCTGACTGCGGGCAATCATTTTATAGGTCAGGTTCATATTGCTGGTCTTGATTCTGTAATTTCTCAAAGAAAAGGGTCTTTCTGTGCTCTGACCTGCGGCCCAAAGTGCTTCAGAGTTACAGGGCTGGAAGAAAATTCCCAGTGTGCTTCTGAGCCTTTAAATCCAATCACAATGGCATTTGTCGAGCTCTGGCATCTGCAGTTATTGGTTTTTTTTTAGCTTTATTACAAAAGAGCTGTATTAGGGAATGATTTCATTCCGTTACGGCTCAAAACGTTCGCCGCCGACAAACGAGCACGCTGAATTTGCCTTTAAATCTGCAAAGGAACAATCAGCCAACAGAAATAAAATAGAAAATCTCGCTTAGAAAACAATTTTCCCGACGAAGGGGTCGGAAATCCCACAATCCCACTCTTACACCTGGCAGCTAAATGCCGGGTGGCTATACTGAAAATTATAAAAATGCTCAATTCCAGACATAATTCCTTCTCTGGTAAACATTGAAAGAATAGAGGATATTGGAAGCAGATGCTTGCTCGTGCAGGTGTGTCCGGCTCTCAGAAGCGTAAGCAGTTCATCCCTCTCTTAATAATAATAATAATAATAAAATAAATGCTGATAAAAAGCAGAGCTAATGCTGAGAGGCAGGCAACTGTGGCCTTGCTCTGGAAGAAAAAATAAAGAGCAGAGTCAACAGTGAGTGATGAAAACGCTGTAATTGATATCCGCGATGTCTGGGAGCGCTGTCTCTCCCCGCAGAGGACATTATTTCTGCTGTCAGTGTGTCCGAGCTGACAGTATCATACCCAAAGCAAAAAAGGCAAAAGTAATAGCTAGTTATGTCACAGCGAAGGATTCCTTGCACTGTTGGCTAATTGCTCTACAGGAATGACAGGCCAGACCTGGAGTACTGGATCCTTCCTGGCCCCTGGGCCACCGCAGAGGCACCGGCGTGCGGCTGTGAACATCACCCTGGATAATTACAGCCCCAGACGAAGCTGCCATGTGTTTTTATTGCTTCCCCACTTGTAGCCCCTTCTCCACCTGGGCACAGGTAGCCCTGGTTTCCCGTCTCCTGAGGCGACCGAACGTGGGGCATCGCCGAGTGAGTTGTTAATCAACACGTGCTTTTATAAAACAGATGTCCAAAAATATAAAAATAAAAAGACAGCCACAACTGTAACTGTAGTCTTCTGATGTATAGTAGAGAGTTGATTCAGAAATTAATTAAAATCAAAAGATTAAATTTCCTAGGTATGCTGAATAATTTCAGCATACCTCGGAAATACCCAAGAGTTTTATATAATGCTGTTATTCACCAGGAAATAAACACTTTACCTGCAATGAAGTCCCATGCTCTAGTATTAAGAGCATCAACAGATTAGCTCTGTGCTACATATGTAGCTGCAGCATAACCGCGGAACTGAGAAATCCACCAGCACGCTCGGGATAAGAACATAAAAGCTTGTGTTATGCAATGTGCGCTGCTAGGGAAGTTTTCCTTTGCCTCTGCGGCTGTGCAGAGATGCCGACTTTCGAGATAAAAAGGCGAGGCCCCTTGATCAAGGGCTGAAAATGAGGTTCCAATATCCATCTATCCATAAGCAAAGAGCCTGCTTGTCAAATCGGCATGTCAAACGTTTAGCTCGTCAAAGTGCTTACAAGACTATGCAGGGGAACAAAGCCACAAAAAGATATTTAAAAATGTATTCAATTTATTGTAATATAATTTGTAATACTGATATGTGGAATAATGATATAATTTATTACATTTACTTTAATGATATTTATTTTAGTGCCAGTTAAATGTAGCATTAATATTCTGTTTACTATTTTAATTATTTTCGTAACTTAATTGTTGTGATTTTAGGCTTCAGAGGACACACGAAACATCATCTTCCACCGTTATGATACGCAACACGTTGTGTGGGTTTGCTTGGATAGTGAAGGTGGCCAAGGTTAGAGTGATAAATGGCTGGATTTTATAAAAATGACTTGAAAGCCTAAGGTGGGTTTGTGGTGGGCCCTTGAGCATGGCCCTTAACCCCTGATTGACTGGATGACCCTGCTCGATTGTACATTGCTTTCGATAAAAGCGTCCGATTGTAAATGTAAATGTTTTGCCATTATAAATTCACGATCGTAGCTCTTTGGATTGCAGTGTAATACAGTACACTCCACTGTTAACCTACTGTCCTCCTGACACAAGCATAAAGCCATTGTTCTTCAATAGCTTTGCTAGACAGCTTCTAAAACAGTCACAATATAGTTTGCATTTAGAAATAACCTTTTGGAAGAATGACTATATTACATTTTTAAATCCTCAGCTAAACTGAAAGGGGCTACCGTTGATGCTAGTCATTTTACTCTCGTAGTTATTTACACTGAGTTACCTCAATTATGCTGAAGAGTGCTAGCTTGTGCCTGACTTTGATCCCTGCCACTCTAAAGCATCCGGAAGCTCTACTCCCGAATCTGATGGCGTCGTCAAATGGGATTACTACCGCGGCGCACTGGGACACGCTTCCGACGAAAAGCGCTCACTGGATTGTCTGCAGTGCTCTGCCTGTGAGGGATAATGAGATTACAACACACTGCAGACACCGTGACCTTTTCAGAACTCTGATAGTAAAGGGCGAACTAAGATGTCGTTTAGAGATGTGTGAATGTGCCATTCGATCAGGCACCGAAACTGCCATTTTATCAGACAAAAAAGAAAAAAAAAAAACTAGATAAGGGATGTATACTAAATTTTAACTTGGCCAAATACAGTCCACTTTTAATCCTAAATTAACAGAAGGCTCAAGGCTATTTCCGCTGAAGAGGATCAAACTGATGAATTGGATTGAGCCACGATAACACCATTACAAGACTTGATCGGTGCTTTACTTGAAGCAACGAATGTCAAGAAAAATCTTTTAATGCTAAATTTCTTGTTTAAGAATGTGGAGCAAAATCTGGCAATTGCCGAATGATATCCAAATCAAAACATCAAAGAAAACTAAAGGCTTAAAGCAGTGTTTCTCAGCCCCAGACGGTCCACATTTTTGCTCCCTCCCAGCTCCCAGCCAATCAACAACAGCAAATATCTGGCACAGGTGTGTTGGGAGTTGGGAGGGAGCAAAATAGTGGAGTCTGGGTGTTCCTGAGGATTTGGCTGGGAAACACAGGTCTAAAGTAAGAAATATACATACCTCGTATTCTTGAGAGAACTTCAGGTTGTCATTGGCTTTCAACCGTTCTAGATGATCAGCTAATTCCATAATGGGAATTGGTGGGTGACTAGCCATACCTTGGAATGGGAATCGAAAAAGGATTTTAAGACATAAAAATAATTCATTAGAAGCACATGTGCATATTCAGTAGTAATGAGATGATGGATTTTTGTTAGGTTGATTGATTACTCAAAGCAGTAGCATGCTACATGGGATACGAACACCTACAGTACAGAGGAAGTCACCAAGCATACTTCCCAAAGAGGGCATTCCTACTGTGAAAGAAAATGTTATTTACAACAAGCAACAACAAAGTTAGCAAGATGAGGGAAAGGGAGGGGAAAGGAGATTTGATAGGCTCCATGGTGACGTCTATGTCTAATAATGCAGTGTTACAGTATGCCATTTCAGACCCCGCCCCTTGCAATGGATGCCATGGAAACCCTGCAGATCAGATGGAGTGAGGTGGGGCTATAATACTAATCGGAAAGTAGATAAAGGAAAGGACACCCAAAAAAGAGACTGACGTATGCATAAACAAGACCAACTAACTTGACAAACGGAGGTTACCGGGGTAACCGGGGACACCTGAACCTTTAAAGGAATGGCGGCATATATAAAACTTCGTAGACGCAGCATTGCGGCGAACATTTCTTAAAGTGAAATAGGCCGTCACCCGAAAGAGGTTAAAGCACAATTAGGTGTGCGGGCTACACGTGAGCTACACGTGAAGGCAATGGTGATTTATTCGAGCAGCGTTTTGCACGCGGGCACGCCAAGAGCGGGGGGCTGCCAGAAGATCGTCATAACGCCGCATGCACCGGCACGCGCTGATGCAGAGCCAGCTGCAATAACCAGAGTTGCAATTGCTGCTTTAAAGCAAGATAGCAAAGCAGAATGCGAGCGGAGTAAGGCCAGCTCGGATAGGCTTCACATGCGAGAATAAGAGGTCGCGGGATTGGCCTGCAGTTGAGAACGGAGCATTTGATAGGCTGTCAGTAAACTTGGCTGAGGGCAAGCCAGCAAGGTCACTGGGGTGTGGGTTCCGGATTCCCCCGTCCCTCATAACCATAGCTGTGTGAAGCTTTTGCCACCTGTGAGGGTAGTGTGTTAGATTGCGCTCCTTTTATCTTAATGACAACTATAACGGGCATTAATTAATAGAGAGACAGCTCCCCCCCACCAAAGAGCAGGTGGAGTGACCCTACTGCCAGGCTTCTCAAGATCCATTTCCAAAGACAGACAATGAAGGTGGCGTCTGCCACATGGCTGTGCAAAAACCGGCGGCCTTGAGGGGAGAAAGTGCGAGCGGAAAAGAGGCACTACAGAGCTCGATGTCCCGAGGTCACGGAGAAGAAGGAGAATGCCTAATATAACAGCTGAGGCGCGCCCTGAAAGGTGCGCGCTACAATGCACACGGGAGAAAACACAAAACACAGTGGTGGTGATACGTGTGGTCTCTTCGTCTCGACGGGGTGCTCTGAGAGATGGTGAGGTGCATTCTGGGTAAGTTGCGCAAAAGCAAAGCAGCACACATGTGGACAGCTGCGTTTATGGATTTGTCTGTAAGGGGCGTGGTCACTCATCTGGAGAACTCCCCCCGAATCGCCTCCTCTGGCTTCTCCGTAACACGCACCACTTAACCGAAGATACCGGCAGGGCGGTTGGTCGTTCCCCTCTTTGGATCCCCACCGCCCAATTGCCTGTCGCAGATGCTGCATGTTATTCAGCTGCGATTTCCCACTAAATGTCAGGCTTGCATTCAGATGTGTCTACATGCTGCTGTCGGTTATGCCATGGGCACGGTGGGGATGGGAGATCCGGTCATGCCATGCACACGGCACGGCGGGGATGGGAGATCCGGTCATGCCATGCACAC